TAGGCTAGCCTGCCTATGATCCATCCTAGGTTTAACCAGGCTGGATTGTGTGAGGAGCTCACAAATCCTTGAAAGATCTGGGCAAGGTCCCATCGGTGAGCTCCTCCGGCAGGCAAGGCTGCGATGGCTGGGTCATGTAGCCCGCATGCCCAGCCACCGCATGCCGAAACAGCTTTTGTTTGGCCGGATCGAGGGGGCTAAACGGGCGCGGCAGAGAAGAGATGGAGTGATGTGGTACAGGAGGACGTGGAACTGAGTGGACTTGCCGATGACTGGTACCAGCGGTGTCAAGATCGGCCTCTGTGGAGGAGGCTCGTGAAGGATGCTACTGGGCAGTTGGAGGCAGTCGCCCTCCAACAACAACGGAGGGCGGAGGAGCGACGCTCACAACAACGAGCGGAGCGCCGGGTGGCTAAAGCACAGCAGGTTGGCACAGTAGGGGGCACAGGTGGTGCATCAGCCAGTCATCTCAGTCAGTCGACCCGTGGCACCTGGGTCTGCCCCGTGACCTCCTGCCAGCGGGCGTTCGACACTTCACGTGGCCTCAGGGTGCACATAGCCTGGCACAAGCGTCGTGGTGACGTCACCGCCACTTAGTGGAGGATGGCGGTTATTGGTATGTGTCTGTGTGTGTCACCACCCCCACTCACCATCCCCACTCACCACCCCCACTCACCACCCCCACTCACCACCCCCACTCACCACCCCCACTCACCATCCCCACTCACCATCCCCCCACTCACCACCCCCACTCACCACCCCCACTCACCACCCCCACTCACCACCTCCCCCCACTCACCACCCCCACTCACCACCCCCAACACTCACCACCCCACTCACCACCCCCCACTCACCACCCCACACTCACCACCCCCACTCACCACCCCCACTCACCACCCCCACTCACCACCCCCCCACTCACCACCCCCACTCACCACCCCACTCACCACCCCCCACTCACCACCCCCACTCACCACCCCACTCACCACCCCCCACTCACCACCCCCACTCACCACCCCCACTCACCACCCCCACTCACCACCCCCACTCACCACCCCACTCACCACCCCACACTCACCACCACCCCCACACTCACCACCCCCACTCACCACCCCACTCACCACCCCCACTCACCACCCCCACTCACCACCCCCACTCACCACCCTCCCCCACACTCACCCCCAACCCACCACCCCCACTCACCACCCTCCCCCACACTCACCACCCCACACTCACCACCACCCCCACACTCACCACCCCCACTCACCACCCCACTCACCACCCCCCACTCACCACCCCCACTCACCACCCCCACTCACCACCCCCACTCACCACCCCCACTCACCACCCCCACTCACCACCCTCCCCCACACTCACCCCCAACCCACCACCCCCACTCACCACCCCCCACTCACCACCCCCCACTCACCACCCCCACTCACCACCCACCCCCCACACTCAACCCCACTCACCACCCTCCCCCACACTCACCACCCCCACTCACCACCCCACACTCACCACTCCCCCACTCACCACCCCCACTCACCACCCCCACTCACCACCCCCACTCACCACCTCCCCCCACTCACCACCCCCACTCACCACCCCCAACACTCACCACCCCACTCACCACCCCCCACTCACCACCCCACACTCACCACCCCCACTCACCACCCCCACTCACCACCCCCACTCACCACCCCCCCACTCACCACCCCCACTCACCACCCCACTCACCACCCCCCACTCACCACCCCCACTCACCACCCCACTCACCACCCCCCACTCACCACCCCCACTCACCACCCCCACTCACCACCCCCACTCACCACCCCCACTCACCACCCCACTCACCACCCCACACTCACCACCACCCCCACACTCACCACCCCCACTCACCACCCCACTCACCACCCCCCACTCACCACCCCCACTCACCACCCCCACTCACCACCCCCACTCACCACCCTCCCCCACACTCACCCCCAACCCACCACCCCCACTCACCACCCCCCACTCACCACCCCCCACTCACCACCCCCACTCACCACCCACCCCCACACTCAACCCCACTCACCACCCTCCCCCACACTCACCACCCCCACTCACCACCCCACACTCACCACTCCCCCACTCACCACCCACCCCCACACTCAACCCCACTCACCACCCTCCCCCCCACTCACCACCCCCACTCACCACACCCCACACTCACCACCCCCACTCACCACCTCCACCACCCCCACTCACCACCCCCACTCACCACCCCCACTCACCACCCTCCCCCACACTCACCACCCCCCACTCACCACCACCACCCCCCACTCACCACCCCGCCACTCCCCTCACCTCCCCAGGGCATGGAAGCTGAGTGTGAGTGGCTGGTGAGCGCCTCCGCCTGAGCGTCTGGCTCTCTCGTGCTGCTCACGCAGATCCTCGGCGTCGTACCGGAGGGCCTCAAAGTGGCGGACGAAGGCGTTCAGCCGGTTGCCGTACAGACCTGGGGTGTTGGAACGGCGGGGTGTTAGAACGGAGGGGTGTTAGAACGGCAGAGTTGGAACAAAGTTGGAACGGAGAAGTCGGAACGGAGAAGTTGGAACGGAGAAGTTAGAACGGAGGGGTTAGAATGGAGGAGTTAGAATGGAGGAGTTGGAACGGAGGAGTTGGAACGGTGGAGTTAGAACGGAGGGTGTTAGAACGGCGGGGTGTTAGAACGGCGGGGTTGGAACGGAGGGTGTTAGAACGGAGGGGTGTTAGAACGGTGGAGTTAGAACGGCGGGGTTGGAACGGAGGAGTTGGAACGGAGAAGTCGGAACGGAGAAGTTGGAACGGAGGGGTTAGAACGGAGGGTGTTAGAACGGAGGGGTGTTAGAACGGAGGGGTGTTAGAACGGAGAGGGTGTTAGAACGGAGGGGTGTTAGAACGGAGGGTGTTAGAACGGAGGGTGTTAGAACGGAGGGTGTTAGAACGGAGAGGGTGTTAGAACGGAGGGGTGTTAGAACGGAGGGTGTTAGAACGGAGGGTGTTAGAACGGAGGGTGTTAGAACGGAGGGTGTTAGAACGGAGGGGTGTTAGAACGGAGGGTGTTAGAACGGAGGGTGTTAGAACGGAGGGTGTTAGAACGGCGGGGTGTTAGAACGGAGGGGTGTTAGAACGGTGGGTGTTAGAACGGAGGGGTGTTAGAACGGAGGGTGTTAGAACGGAGGGTGTTAGAACGGAGGGTGTTAGAACGGAGGGTGTTAGAACGGCGGGGTGTTAGAACGGAGGGTGTTAGAACGGTGGGTGTTAGAACGGAGGGGTGTTAGAACGGAGGGTGTTAGAACGGCGGGGTTAGAACGGAGGTGTTAGAACGGCAGAGTTAGAACGGCAGAGTTAGAACGGAGGGGGTTAGAACGGCAGAGTTGGAACAAAGTTGGAACGGAGAAGTCGGAACGGAGAAGTTGGAACGGAGGGGTTAGAATGGAGGAGTTGGAACGGAGGAGTTAGAACGGAGAAGTTAGAACGGAGAAGTCGGAACGGAGGGGTTAGAATGGAGGAGTTAGAACGGAGAAGTTGGAACGGAGAAGTTAGAACGGAGAAGTCGGAACGGAGAAGTTGGAACGGAGGGGTTAGAATGGAGGAGTTAGAATGGAGGAGTTGGAACGGAGGAGTTAGAACGGAGGAGTTAGAACGGAGAAGTTGGAACGGAGAAGTTGGAACGGAGGGGTTAGAATGGAGGAGTTAGAATGGAGGAGTTGGAACGGAGGAGTTAGAACGGAGGGTGTTAGAACGGAGAAGTCGGAACGGAGAAGTCGGAACGGAGAAGTTGGAACGGAGGGGTTAGAACGGCGGGGTTAGAACGGAGGTGTTAGAACGGAGGGTGTTAGAACGGTGGGTGTTAGAACGGCGGGGTGTTAGAACGGAGGGGTGTTAGAACGGAGGGTGTTAGAACGGAGAGGGTGTTAGAACGGAGGGGTGTTAGAACGGAGGGTGTTAGAACGGAGGGTGTTAGAACGGTGGAGTTAGAACGGAGGGTGTTAGAACGGAGGGTGTTAGAACGGTGGGTGTTAGAACGGAGGGTGTTAGAACGGAGGGTGTTAGAACGGAGGAGTTAGAACGGAGGGTGTTAGAACGGAGGGTGTTAGAACGGAGGTGTTAGAACGGAGGGGTCGGAACGGTGGGGTTGGAACGGCAGAGTTGGAACAGAGTAGTTAGAACGGAGAAGTTGGAACGGAGAAGTTGGAACGGAGGGGTTAGAACGGCGGGGTTAGAACGGTGGAGTTAGAACGGAGCAGTTAGAATGGAGGCGTTGGAACGGCAGAGTTAGAACGGCAGTGTTAGAACGGAGGAGTTAGAACGGAGGGGTTGGAACGGAGGGTGTTAGAACGGAGGGGTGTTAGAACGGAGGGTGTTAGAACGGAGGGGTGTTAGAACGGAGGGTGTTAGAACGGAGGGGTGTTAGAACGGAGGAGTTGGAACGGAGGGGGTTAGAACGGTGGGGTTAGAACGGCGGGGTGTTAGAACGGAGGGGTGTTAGAACGGTGGGGTGTTAGAACGGAGGGGTGTTAGAACGGTGGGGTGTTAGAACGGAGGGGTGTTAGAACGGTGGGTGTTAGAACGGAGGGGTGTTAGAACGGAGGGTGTTAGAACGGAGGGTGTTAGAACGGAGGGTGTTAGAACGGAGGGTGTTAGAACGGAGGGGTGTTAGAACGGTGGGGTTAGAACGGAGGGTGTTAGAACGGAGGGTGTTAGAACGGAGGGTGTTAGAACGGAGGGGTCGGAACGGTGGGGTTGGAACGGAGGAGTTGGAACGGAGAAGTTGGAACGGAGAAGTTGGAACGGAGGGGTTAGAACGGCGGGGTTAGAACGGCGGGGTTAGAACGGAGGAGTTAGAACGGAGGGGTTGGAACGGCAGAGTTAGAACGGCAGAGTTAGAACGGAGGGGGTTAGAACGGCAGAGTTGGAACAAAGTTGGAACGGAGAAGTCGGAACGGAGAAGTTGGAACGGAGGGGTTAGAATGGAGGAGTTAGAACGGAGAAGTTGGAACGGCAGAGTTAGAACGGCAGAGTTAGAACGGAGAAGTTATAATGGCAGAGTTAGAACGGAGGAGTTATAACGGAGGGGTTGGAACGGAGGGGTTGGAACGGCGGGGTTAGAATGGAGGAGTTAGAACGGAGGAGTTGGAACGGAGGGGTTAGAACGGAGGGTGTTAGAACGGAGGGTGTTAGAACGGTGGGTGTTAGAACGGAGGGGTGTTAGAACGGAGGGTGTTAGAACGGAGGGGTTAGAACGGAGGGTGTTAGAACGGAGAAGTTGGAACGGAGGGGTTAGAACGGAGGGTGTTAGAACGGAGGGTGTTAGAACGGAGGGTGTTAGAACGGTGGAGTTAGAACGGCGGGGTTGGAACGGCAGAGTTAGAACGGAGAAGTTGGAACGGCAGAGTTAGAACGGAGAAGTTGGAACGGAGAAGTCGGAACGGAGAAGTTGGAACGGAGGGGTTAGAATGGAGGAGTTAGAATGGAGGAGTTGGAACGGAGGAGTTAGAACGGAGGAGTTAGAACGGAGAAGTTGGAACGGCAGAGTTAGAACGGCAGAGTTAGAACGGAGAAGTTGGAACGGAGAAGTCGGAACGGAGAAGTTGGAACGGAGGGGTTAGAATGGAGGAGTTGGAACGGAGGGGTTAGAACGGTGGGGTTAGAACGGTGGGGTTAGAACGGAGGGTGTTAGAACGGAGGTGTTAGAACGGCGGGGTTGGAACAGAGGAGTTAGAACGGAGAAGTTATAACGGCAGAGTTAGAACGGAGAAGTTGGAACGGAGAAGTCGGAACGGAGAAGTTGGAACGGAGGGGTTAGAATGGAGGAGTTAGAATGGAGGAGTTGGAACGGAGGAGTTAGAATGGAGGAGTTAGAATGGAGGAGTTGGAACGGAGGAGTTAGAACGGAGGGGTTAGAACGGAGGAGTTAGAACAGCAGAGTTGGAACAGAGGAGTTAGAACGGAGAAGTCGGAACGGAGAAGTTGGAACGGCGGGGTTAGAACGGAGGGTGTTAGAACGGAGGGGTCGGAACGGTGGGGTTGGAACGGAGGAGTTAGAACGGAGAAGTTGGAACGGCAGAGTTAGAACGGCAGAGTTAGAACGGAGAAGTTATAACGGCAGAGTTAGAACGGAGAAGTTGGAACGGAGAAGTCGGAACGGAGAAGTTGGAACGGAGGGGTTAGAATGGAGGAGTTAGAACGGAGAAGTTGGAACGGAGAAGTTGGAACGGAGAAGTCGGAACGGAGAAGTTGGAACGGAGAAGTTAGAACAGCGGGGTTAGAACGGCGGGGTTAGAACGGAGGGGTTGGAACGGTGGGGTTAGAACGGAGGGGTTGGAACGGAGAGGTTGGAACGGAGAGGTTGGAACGGCAGAGTTAGAACGGTGGGGTTGGAACGGAGAAGTTGGAACGGAGAAGTTGGAACGGAGGGGTTAGAATGGAGGAGTTAGAATGGAGGAGTTGGAACGGAGGAGTTAGAACGGAGGAGTTAGAACGGAGAAGTTGGAACGGCAGAGTTAGAACGGCAGAGTTAGAACGGAGAAGTTATAACGGCAGAGTTAGAACGGAGAAGTTGGAACGGAGAAGTTGGAACGGAGAAGTTGGAACGGAGGGGTTAGAATGGAGGAGTTAGAATGGAGGAGTTGGAACGGAGGAGTTAGAACGGAGGAGTTAGAACGGAGAAGTTGGAACGGCAGAGTTAGAACGGCAGAGTTAGAACGGAGAAGTTATAACGGCAGAGTTAGAACGGAGAAGTTGGAACGGAGAAGTTGGAACGGAGAAGTTGGAACGGAGGGGTTAGAATGGAGGAGTTAGAATGGAGGAGTTGGAACGGAGGAGTTAGAACGGAGGAGTTAGAACGGAGAAGTTGGAACGGAGAAGTTGGAACGGAGGGGTTAGAATGGAGGAGTTAGAACGGAGAAGTTGGAACGGCAGAGTTAGAACGGCAGAGTTAGAACAGAGAAGTTATAATGGCAGAGTTAGAACGGAGGAGTTAGAACGGAGGGGTTGGAACGGAGGGGTTGGAACGGCGGGGTTAGAATGGAGGAGTTAGAACGGAGGAGTTAGAACGGAGAAGTTGGAACGGCAGAGTTAGAACGGCAGAGTTAGAACGGTGGGGTTAGAACGGTGGGGTTAGAACGGTGGGGTTAGAACGGTGGAGTTAGAACGGTGGAGTTAGAACGGCAGAGTTAGAACGGCGGGGTTGGAACGGAGGGGTTAGAACGGTGGGGTTAGAACGGTGGAGTTAGAACGGTGGAGTTAGAACGGTGGGGTTGGAACGGCGGGGTTAGAACGGAGGGGTTAGAACGGAGGGGTTAGAACGGAGGGGTTGGAACGGAGGGGTTAGAACGGAGGGGTTAGAACGGAGGAGTTAGAACGGAGAAGTTGGAACGGCGGAGTTAGAACGGCAGAGTTAGAACGGAGAAGTTATAACGGCAGAGTTAGAACGGCAGAGTTAGAAAGGAGGAGTTAGAACGGAGAGGTTGG